GCTTACAAAAAGACATCGGAGGGCCTGTTAAGCATGAGAGTTCATTTATATTATGGTAATTGGCAACGAAATGCACTTGATAGGTTCTGTGATCTTTCCTGCCGTCCCCTGACATTAAAGGGCACAAGTGACTTACGTGTCTCCATTCTGTGGTACTGTTAGTCTTCAAACGAACCTTTGATTTTCACACGTGAACACAGTAAGTTCGAGTGCCGGAGACACACACCATGCGACTTTATCGCGTAAATGAACACAACACTCTGCTCCCCCAATCTCTACCTGCCACAGGTCGTCAGTGCCCTGGCACAACAATCGTAGACCCAATCGATCGACGTGATTGCCTAGTATGCCATCGACGAAACAAGGTTTGTTTCGCCTCCCTCGGGAAGAAAATCAGATCAAAAGAAGTCACCCAAAGAGTTTGCGCAAACGAACCAGTTTTTAATAAGTTTTCTAAAAAGGCGACGGTGTGGAAGTAGAACTAGCTAATATCAATATTTTATTTTATTCTACTATTTCCTTTTGGCAATACTTTAATGATATACCGTGCATTTAACGTTCTACGTTAAACGTTGGTTATTATCGTATGATTCGACATATACAAACGTTCTCGTCACCAGCTCCAATAAACATTGTAATAGGTATTCTCCTTTTTCTTGTAGACGAATGCGCAGGCATACCTATCTAAACATCCAAGCGAGAGGAGCGGTATATTCTTATTAAACACTTACGAGCCACTTCTGATGACGTAAGAGCGACAGAACATTATACAAGAACGGTAGAAGTTTCACGTAGTATAGGACAATTAAATTCGTAAATAAGAATCGTTCAGTGACAAATTTTATTCTCTACCGAAGGAGCGACACAACGCCCTCATGTAGAGAGAGGGTGACCGAGCCAAAATGTGACATCTCCCTTGGCACACCTACCGATCGCATATTTCTCTGTGTGTGAGCAACACATTCTGTCTTATTTATCGTGAGATCAATAGCGTACCCTCGTACGTTACTGTATACTCGCGGCGCCACATCTCCCATAACAACCTTCATCCTCCTATGCCTAACGCACACTGGAGTCCCTCCAGTCGTGTCATCTAATGCCCGTGATATCGTGCGTGTTTTTTTGAGGGAGTACATGGACGTGTGTCATTGGGCGAATGACAATGTTACCTTCCGACCTATAAGTCGATTGCAACGTTATCCGTCCACAAACGGGCCCCATTCACGATGAAAAAAATGCTCACCCATCGCTGGAGAGGAAGATCACAACATCACAAGAAACCAAAACTCAAAAATATTATTTTACCAACAATGTGGAATTTATTGGCTACATATTACACAGATTATGCACAGCGGGAGCAGCAATAACCGTCAAATAATAATTCAGACAGGGGAGCTCCGCACCCCCTGCCTGCCACTAGGGGGTGCTGCAGCGCCCTCAGCACCCCCCTTCCCGCGCCAATGCATGCAAGGCTGGTGGTCCCTCTCTGCTTCCCTACTGTATATCCTGCGTGAGTGTGTTTGTGTGTGTGTGACACCTGCACTGATCTCCCGCAGGATAGTTCGGTTTCCCTGGCAGATAGGCGAGGAGAAGGTTCGACGTGTCTTTCGGGAAGCGCTGAAAATCTGGAGTGACGTCACCCCGCTCACCTTCACCGAGATCCACAGTGGGAAGGCCGACATCCGGATCGACTTCACAAGGTGGGAGACCGGGATGTGGGGGGGAAAGCATATTTTAGAAGTAATTATAGAGGAAAAGTAACGCATGCTATATGTTTAAGTAAAAAAAAAAGATATGATTGCAAAATGAATGAATGTGCTATGACATAAAATACAAAATACATTATTTTTGCAACTTTGTTCAAGATGGAAATATCTCCATTGGGTGCATTAGCATGCCATTTGAATCATGCTCTCATATTCCCCTCAGGAATACCTGTATACATTTTTGTGATCCTTTGACTATCAAGATCAAGTATCTGCAGCTCTTATCACATTCCAATCGGCCTCTGCTGTAATTTCTGTCTACTGATAATTATCAAAAGTTTTGCAATTTAGGGTAGCAACGGTATGACATTTTCACAATTAATCCTTTACAGTTACAGTTAACCATATGCTTTTAGGGTTTCCCTCTCCTGTAGTGTGTGCATGTAAATGGTCTACAAAGGCTAAAATCCCAAAGTTCCCTCACACACTCCCCACCCAGCCTCAAACACCTCCATTGGACTCCTTTATTGACTTCTGTAACATAGTGACATCACTATGTAACACTCACACTTCTATTGGCACTCCTACACATTTTACGTTGCAATGTAAGATATTGAAATAAACCTGACATAAGGCGCTTTCACTCCGCAGTACTTTTCCCACTTTAGTTCCAATATATTTCCGAAATGTTGCGCTCACACACAAAAAATCCGGAAACAAAAATTTGTTCATGAGAACCTTTTTACCCCTTTTCCAGAAAAAGGTTCCTATTTCTGATTGGCTGGGCGGATTGCAAACCATGCCCCGTAAAACTCCAAATAGGTTTTGTGAAGCCGCCATTTTATTATCCTCGCATTAGCATTATTAGCATTAGCCCAGCGCACAAACGCAGAGAGACTAACTTATGGCAACACAAAAGAAAACATGGGAGCGGTGGAGATGAGGAGGTGTTGGCGTTCTGGCGATTTACTCGAAAGGCTTCAGCCAGTCCCCAACTCCGGGGAATTCCGGCCGGGGACTTTGGGCGGCAGTATACGCCGTGAAGTTGTTTGCGGCCTGCCAGTAAAACCAAAGCAGAAGAAGAAGAAGTGACGTCAGCGGCTTCATTTGCCTAATCCTCCCCCAGGGACTTATTCCGGTGTGAACGCGATCTGTACTTACTAGTTCATGAGAACTAAAGCGTTCTCATGAACTAAGTTCTCATGAACCTTTGTGGGAAAAGTACTGCGGTGTGAAAGCGCCTATAAGTGTATTTTGTATAAGTTGGAAACTCCCTCTGGAGGGAACTTTGGGATTTTAGCCATTGCAGACCATTATGGTTTGACTTCCAATCATTTGGTGAAATAAAACATAAGTCTTATTGTATTTTGCCATAAATTGAAGAGGTCCTCTGATGTTTTTTTTGGGGGGGGGGGTTTCCCTATAGTGTGTTTTAGTGCATGTAAATGGTCTGCAATGGCTAAAATCCCAAAGTTCCCTCCAGAGGGAGTTTCCAACTTATACAAAATACACTTATAGGCGCTTTCACACCGCAGTACTTTTCCCANGGAAATAGTTTGCTTTGACCTGCTTGCGGTGGCAGATTTAGCTATCTGAGATGATACAGTGCCAACAAAGAGTCATTAAAAAGTCCCTCGCTTTTGACTAACTTCCCCTTCTTCCTCTCCATGACCTGAGAACACCTCATGTTACAGATGTGTCACATATCATTGACTGTTCATAGTTGCCCCCATGTGAACTCAGCTTGTGAGATCTTTCCATCCTAGAAAGGTTATAATTAAAATCATTGCTAGATTTAGAGATATTGTTGCTTTTTTACATTTAGTAGGCTACATGGCTTTGGTGAATACTCATTTCTGAGCAATGAAGCTTGCAATGTCTTATCTTCAGGACGATAGTCTGATATTTGGCAGTAAATAATAACCAGCACGATATAAATCTTAGTGTCTAAAGTGATTGTATGTGCTTTTTCTATTTTAAATGGTATTTTCATTTCCTTGGGCAGTCATGAAAGTCATATTTTGCCCGTTTTACATTTCTTGAATTGATTCATAATAATCATTGCATTTCAGTGTTTCTAATTATACATATTCTTATATAATACTTTAAAATAGTAATATAACCTTTGTATTCACTTTTAAAAACCCATGCTCTGCAACTACTACTTTCTCAACAATACATGGTTAGTTCATATTTAATCACATTGTTTATCTGTTATTATTTGCATCTTTATAGTGTCGTTGACATATTAAAGGAAAAACCTGAATTAAAGTGTTGAGAAACATAACCAGGGAAATGTACAGCCTGCTAGTTTTTTCAGGTCAGGTAATTCACTTTGATGACGTCACCTAACATCCAAAACATCTGGATTTGCCGCCACTTCCCTGACCACCTCTTTATGTCAGTCATCCATTCTCCACTTGGCCTCCCTGCACCTCTTCTTCCCTCATGATGGTATTTGCTAGGTACCAGTTTTTTCTTTACTCATTTTCTGATACCTCTTTTCTAAACTTTCAAATTCCTTGTATGGGTACACATACTGTAATTGGCCAAAAAAGTCGACACAGTAATCACATAGTACCATGAATTGTATTAATGATTTACATTCATATTTATATATTTTTTCTAAATTCTGTCGAATAAACCCTCACCCATGTGGTTTCCGAGGGTCCAGGACTCGTCATAGTCGAAGTGAATGTCACCTTGTCGGTGGGTTTTGGGGAAAAATGCGTGAGCGAGAATCCCACCCGGGCCATCGAAGGGAAGGTTGTCTCCATGCCAGTACCTGCAATCCCATAAATGAAACGTTCTGATGAGCACAAGAGCCACTCTGAAGGTTTACAGCATGATGAATTTTTTAAGTGAAACTTTATGGATGAAAAAACAAGTTGATGAGGTTGCTGTCAGAAAACCCATTAATATTAAGTTAATAATAACAAAGGAAAATGCCAAAGGCACACA